TTAAAAAATTGCAGATTTTTCCCGCCGCCTATACATATACACCTGTCACGTTTAAAGCCATCCCCGATCAGTCTTTCAATATTCTCTACAATAAATGGCGTAACCGCGTCCTGGAGCTTTTTATCATCATAGTAATTCATATTCACACCGTCCTTTACAAACCCTAGAGGACTCATCGCTGAGATAAAAAATTTCTTATAAAAAGCGGATGGACCACCATACCGTTCGATCACTTCATAGATAAACTCGGCAGATAGCTCGCTACTATTTCCAAACGGATGCTCAATGTCGCAGTAACTTGTCAACTGGCGCGGGCCGGTAAAGTTGATACCGGTGATCCCGGCTCCAAAACGGCCTGGATTTATTCCAAAGATCAAATGCCGTTGCAGCCGGTCGGAATAATATTTCTTAAAAAAAGTAGTTACAATTTCCATTACCTTTTTATTTGCCTGCGGATATAGTATGCCGACGCCGGCAGGTAACGGTTCATGGATTTCGAGACTTCGATAAAATTCGATAAGGCTGTCTGCCAGGGTTGTATTCACCGGGTAAAGATAAACAGACTCGTACGCCCTGATCAGCAACCTGTTCTTCTGTTCCAAAATTCTCCATCCAATCAAAAGGAGTAAGAGTTTTGCCTTACCAGACAAATAAATCCATTTACTAAAATCAAAAAATGGAACTGTTTTTTGGCAAGACCTTTATTTTCGCTATCTTATCAATGCAAAACCTTATCACAGAATACAGTATGAATATTCTTAGTACACCCTTTACTCGTTAAAGTGTCGATCTTCACCACTCCTCGCGCTCCCGCTGTTGACCGCCTTCTGGTGAAGGGCCATAAGAATAACAAATGGTATTGGTACGGTTCTGGTATTAACGATATGTATTATGTGTAAATGAATTAGTACAGAGTTGCTTTTACATATTGGATGACGGAACTGGTGTGTTTAAGCGACACCAGTTATTTAAACCCTGTTCCATGCAACTACTGCCCGACATACCTCTGCAACATAAAATGATCAGGTGGTCCCGCTATTTTATAGTTGCGGTGGCTGTCATTGCTTGTCTCGTATTGTTAGGGTGGCAGTTTAATATCCATCAGTTTCGCAGGCCCTTACCGTCACTGGTTGCGATGAATCCACTAACGGCGATCCTTTTCCTCGCCAGCAGCCTTTCGTTTTTCCTGGTTAATGCCCGGCATCCTGCATCAAAAAAAACACAGGCTGGACTTGCGTTGGCGTTAGTGGTGATAGCTGCAGCCATTATAAAACTTGCTTCCCTGTTTTTGGATTTTGGATGGAGAATCGATCGTTTGTTTTTCCGGTCACGGCTGGATGAGGACCTGATTGGAAACCTGGTAAACAGCATGGCTCCGAATACGGCGTTTTGTTTCGTACTGGTGGGTATTTGTCTTTGGTCGATGGGGTTTGCTAAGGCAAAGGAAAAAGTACCCGTTCAATACATTGCGTTGGCAATTGCGCTTTCCGCTTGGGTATCAATA